TATCTCGAAAATGGTCGTTTCACGAGCTTGAGGAAAGAAATTCTAGGGTGAGACCTGGATAGTGGTAACTTCTTGAGCTGTGGTGGTCGCCTGTGTAGTAGGTGACGCAGTCGTAACAACCCGAGTAGTCGGAGCTATAGTGATGGCCGCCTGGGTTGTCGGAGCAACAGTGGTAGCCGCCTGAGTTGTTGGAACTACTGTGGTAGCTGCCTGAGTTGTTGGAGCAACAGTGGTAGGCGCCTGAGTTGTCGGAGCAACAGTAGTGGCCGCCTGAGTTGTTGGAGCAACAGTGGTAGCCGCCTGAGTTGTCGGAGCAACATTAGTGGCCGCCTGAGTTGTCGGAGCAACAGTAGTGGCCGCCTGAGTGGTGGCCGCCTCAGTTGTTGGAGCTACAGTGGTAGCCGCCTGAGTTGTCGGAGAGACAGTAGTGGCCGCCTGAGTTGTCGGAGCAACAGTAGTGGCCGTCTGAGTGGTAGCCGCCTGAGTTGTTGGAATTACTGTGGTAGCTGCCTGAGTTGTTGGAGCAACAGTGGTAGGCGCCTGAGTTGTCGGAGCAACAGTAGTGGCCGCCTGAGTTGTCGGAGCAACAGTAGTGACCGCCTGAGTGGTGGCCGCCTGAGTTGTTGGAGCTATAGTGGTAGCCGCCTGAGTTGTCGGAGAAACAGTAGTGGCCGCCTGAGTTGTCGGAGCAACAGTAGTGGCCGCCTGAGTGCTGGGCGCCTGAGTTGTTGGAGCTACAGTAGTGGCCGCCTGAGTTGTTGGAGCTATAGTGGTAGCCGCCTGAGTTGCCGGAGCGACAGTAGTGGCCGCCTGAGTTGTCGGAGCAACAGTAGTGGCCGCCTGAGTGGTGGCCGCCTGAGTGGTGGCCGCCTGAGTTGTCGGAGCTACAGTAGTGGCCGCCTGAGTTGTCGGAGCTACAGTGGTAGCCGCCTGAGTCGTCGGAACTACAGTGGTAGCCGCCTGAGTTGTCGGAGCTACAGTAGTGGCCGCCTGAGTTGTCGAAACTATTGTGGCAGGCGCCTGAGTTGTCGGAGCAACAGTAGTGGCCGCCTGAGTGGTGGCCGCCTGAGTTGTCGGAGCTACAGTAGTGGCCGCCTGAGTTGTCGGAGCAACAGTAGTGGCCGCCTGAGTGGTGGCCGCCTGAGTTGTCGGAGCTACAGTAGTGGCCGCCTGAGTTGTCGGAACTGCAGTGGTCGCCGTCTGAGTTGTCGAAGCAACAGTGGTGGCCGTCTGCACAGTCGAAGTGACACTGATAGTTGTCTGGGTTGTTGCGACGGTATTGGTGGCAGTCATAGTTGTACTGTCCCCGTAGTTGTTGCAGAAACTCGGGCCACAAGGCTGGTCGCCGTCATAGCAGACCGGTACGTAGAGCCACCACTTGCAGTACGACACACGATCGCCAGGAAGGCCTAGGTTGATGGCGGTACAGTACGCATCGCAGTTGGGGCTTGGGCCGGCATGAGAGTCAGGAGGCCCTTCGGTAGGGGCGGGGGTGCCGGTAGGGCAATCCGACGGGCCACAAGGCTGATCCCCACCTTGACAGACAGGCTCACTCTTCCACCACTTGCAGAAGGAAGACGGTCCGTTGAGGCCAACACAGTAGGAATTGCAAGGAGCAGATTCATGAGGGTGGGCACCAACTGGGAGAGGAGGTGTAGGAGCAGGTGGCCACGTCTGCGAGGTGCACACAGTTTGATCCCCACACGGCTGATCGCCTCCGAGGCAAGTAGGGCGAGGGAGCCACCACTTGCAGTACGAAGCCTCATCGTTGAGACTCTGACACATAGTGTCACACGCTGGCTCATACGTTCCATCACCAGTGGGGACCGCAACAGTCGGTGTCACCGTTACAGGAGAGCCGCAGATAGGGATAGTGCCACATGGCTGATCACCCCCTTGGCAAGTGGGTGGATTTTGGTCAAGTTTACAGTAAGAACTACCTCCGTTGAGTCCTTGGCAGTAGATATCACAGGTGTTTCGCAAGGTAGCGGCATCAACAGTACTAGCCGGAACTGTAGTCGGGGAAGAAGTCGTGGTGGTGCTGGCTTGGAGATGACGAAGACTCCCTGATACCGTTGCAGGAAGAGCAGCGACGATGAAAATGTTGAACATAGTATCAAGGGATGGAGAGCTCGTAGACTAAACAAGAGTCCAGTTCCAATTGCCGAGTTGAAAAATTATGATCGACCATCTCTTCGGAACACTTCGGTGAGGTGAAGTTGATCTGACTCGAAACGATAAGATTCGAGTATCTTCCATCGTGCGCGAGGCTTCCATTTGAAGAGATCGATCGGGGGATGCAAGTCTATGGTCGACGTGACTTACGCTAGGCATTTACTCACTTCCAAGCTTTAAGCAAGATCTCTTTTGTTCCATAAGCCCGTGATCATGGTCAACTTTAAATCAAACTCGCAAGATGCTAAGAGCTGGACTGAAGGTCAAGCACCAGAAGACCATCTCTTTCGCGGTCGCACAGATGTGTACGATTCTACTCGAGTCTCGTTTCACTCTAAGGCACTTGTTGAGCATTTTCGGTTTACGGACGAATAGACAGATGTGTTGAAGTTGGAGTGAGTCTATTGAGAATTGAAAAGAACATAATGACCCTGGAACTTGGCGTGGGCTAGTAATACTAACTCTCACCTGTTTCAGACACTGAAATACCGCGGCTGCCGCTGCTACCGCTCTTTTTGGCAGCCGTATGCATTTCGTCGATCTATCCGATTCAGAGTAAGATCGACCATTTTGGTCGCGTAAATTCATCCATTCATTGAAGTTGGACCTGCTTCGGCCGTGTTGACGAGGTTGACCTTCCCATCTCGTGTGCCTGCAAAATTGATTGCACTGAGGCATACCTCCAGATGGCATAGCTGCCCCATCCGGAGAAATGGATTGCACCGAGGCATACCTTCAGGTTGCATAGCCGTCCCATCCAAGGGAATTGATTGCGTTGAAGCATATCTGTAAGTGGCATAGCGCCCTATCCAGAGAAATCGATTGCGTTGAAGCATACGGGTGGCATAGCGGCCCCGCGCGCAGGAACTGATTTCGATAAGGGAACTATTCCATACTCGTGTGGATTGGTTAGATTAACCGCTAGTCCTGCTTCATTCGAGGCAATCGCAGAGAGGGAAAATCTTTAGAGTTGAGTGAGACATAGAGGCTGAAGACCTCTAAGCTTTTAGTTCCAGAAAGCCTTGTGTCGGTTGCGCCACCATTGAGTTGACACTTATTGCCTCGTGGAGACATCTATGCACACAAAAGTACGTAGGTTCGAGAGGAGCAGTCAGATGTGTCGCCCGCTGGAGTAATAGACAGAAAATAGTTGTTTCGGGGTCTGCTACTGCGAAGCCATAAGCCTGTTCGGAAGATTCCATTCGCACAAGTCCAAACTCCGGATGGAATGAGTTACCACTGGAACTGATGACTGACATATACTCGTCTTCACCCGATTATACTTGAGTCCAGGTGCAATACACACCTGATCGATTATGAGTCTACTTTTTCTACGACTTGACAACACAACCATCGGATGAACAGTCATTGTTGTGATATATTTCATTTGGACTCTGAGAATTTCCGAAACGCTTCGGCTACAGCTGGGTCTCTAAACATGTCAGCTCGAGTAGGTCTCCGCCCGAACTTGCTCTCAAATCGCTCACGCCATTCTAACAAGATCCTGAGACAGGCATGAAACGATGAGTATGCTTAACGAACGGCTATCAACGTGCGTTGGAAACCCAAGGTAAGACGCAGACTCACCGCTTATTCAGCTCTCTCGTCTCCGTGCCCGTCGGCGCAGCTTGTTCGGCAGATCCGTCCAACACGTTTGTCACCAATGGAGCTCCAGCTACTCGGAATTGAGGAACGATCTCTAAGTATCTATAATACACTTGCTAGAAGCTCAGAGCATCCGACCGTTAGCACGAGACCAAGAGTGAGTGGGGAAGTACGCCCTGCTCGCAATTGCGGATTGAACTAACACTAACTTACCCATCAGCTTTCTTATGAATCAGAACAAGTTGTTGATCTAAACCATCCGGGCAGTCGCGGTAGGAACACACAGCGAGACCACTCGTATGCAGCCATTGTGAGCAGAAATCTTGCACCTAATTTTATAATATATGTAGAAAGTATGGATGAAAACAGCGAACAAGCCCAAGGAACGAATCTACCTCTCCTGACGATAAGAAGTACGGTGAAACGTACAGTGCATTGAACTTGGCGGTGGAATACGACCCTTCAGGGAAGGATCTCAATACATGTACATTGCTATACCTAGCGAGGATGGGTTGGTCGACTCAACCGTAGTAAGGAGCCACTTGATGACCAGAAAAACATTCTCACCCGGCTAGGTTATCCAGCGCAGTTTGATACGCTGTGCTGTCACACTCGGAGGCCACGACTCGATCTATTCCCATTTCGGCCGCCACAGAAGCTAAGTAGCCAGTGCCACATCCAAAGTCGAGGAACGATGTCGGTCGTGCTCCACTGACTAAAGCTGGAGAGAGCAGCTCCAGAACCTGTAAGGTGGGGCATGATGCAACTGGCCCCCTCACGCTATAGCATTCGGACAGTCACATAGCCTTACCTGTGCATGCAACTGTGGTGTACTGACAGAGGAACCTCCAGAGACTTTCACTGGGATGTTGGCGTATGAATCAGTTACCCCAGTAGGTAAGAATCGGGCTCGGTCAATCTGAGGAATATGTTATCTGACGAATTGAAGTTCTACAACGAGCTGGCATGGGGATTCCCCATTGGGGAACATAGAGTTCGCAAACGCATCTTACTCTCTTCATGGCTGCAATGAGTGAAGGGTTTTGTACAAAACCTCTTTGACTTAGTTGGTCAATGAGTTGACACTGGTTGGTAGCTTTAATGCCGTACCCAAACATCGACTGTTCCCAGCTGGTACCGCTGAAAGCCAGCGCTCGACTCAAGAGGGCTCGTGATGAGCTACTGTTCATCTTGTCAATGTATCGAACCAAACCAACTGGGGAGTTCACACTTCCCCACGAAAGGCCTCGACCTCTATAATATCTGTCGTTAAAGTCTCGTTCAGCGACAGGAGTCCACTATAAAATCCTAGACTTTCTATAGAGATTCTTCCATGAACCGCGTATACTGGTACACAACTCAGACCAAATACAATCACCCTAGTTCTGCTTCCATCATGATTAAAGACCATCTACATGGTGACAGATACATATAGTCAGTGCTCAGCCGATAAACTGATGAATGAGAGATATACTTACGTACGAATAACAAGCGATTATCACGTCCTGATGGAGCTCATCTACAATTAATCGCCGAGGACGAGTGTCACGAAGTCGCGAACCCAATATTGTAGAGATCTAGGGTGGTGTTGGCGTAGTAGGAGCGGTAGTGGCCATCAGCCCAGAAGTAGACCCCGGAGGGGAAGCTGCCGTGGTTATGATTGGAGTCATAGTTGTACTGTCTCCGTAATTATTGCAGACACTCGGGCCACAAGGCTGGTCACCGTCATAGCAGACCGGTACGTAGAGCCACCACTTGCAGTACGACACGCGATCACCGGAGAGACCAGTGTTAGAAGCGGCACAATAGGCGTCACAATTGGGACTGGGGCCGGCATGAGAGTCAGGAGGACCTCCAGTGGGGGCAGGGGTGCCGGTAGGGCAATCTGATGGGCCACAGGACTGATCCCCACCGTAGCAGGAAGGCTCACTTTTCCACCACTTGCAGAAGGAAGATGGTCCGTTGAGACCAACACAGTAGGAATTGCAAGGGACGGACTCGTAAGGGTGGGCCTCGAAAGGAAGTGTCGGCGTCGGGGCAGGAGGCCACGTCTGCGAGGTGCACACAGTTTGATCCCCACACGGCTGATCACCACCGAGACAAGTAGGGCGAGGGAGCCACCACTTGCAGTACGAAGCCTCATCGTTGAGGCTCTGACACATAGTGTCACACGCTGGCTCGTACGTTCCATCACCAGTGGGGACCGCATCAGTCGGTGTCACCGTTACAGAAGGGCCGCAGATAGCAATAGTGCCACAAGGCTGATCACCCCCTTGGCAAGTGGGTGGGCTCAAATCCAGTTTACAGTAAGAAGCACCTCCGTTAAGTCCCTGGCAGTAGACGTCGCAGGTGTTCTGCAAGGTAGCAGGGTTAACGGGACTTGCCGAGCCTGTAGTGGTTGGGATGGACGTGGTGGTGCTGGCTTGGAGATTACGTGGACTCCCTAACACCACTGCAGAGAGAGTACTGACGGTGAGTAGTTTGAACATGAGTAAGAAGGTCTGTTAGAAATCTGATATCAGCATTGACTTGTCAGCCACGACAGGCTTAGAAGGGCTACACACGCTCAGTTCAGCAGTTCTTGCAATGAATCAGCTGTGCGATTGATGACCGTATAAAAGCAGATGCTGGATATGATGCGATGCGACCAGATCGAAACGGTTTGATGTTACTATCTTCCATCGTGCGCTGGGTCTTTCATTTTCCGCCTGTGAGAAGTGTTCGCCAGCCAGTGTCCGAGCACCGTCTGTTACTCTAACGATTACGGCGATTCGGGGTGGCATCATCGGCCCTCGCGCTTATATAGCAAGTTGTTAAATTTTTGAATGCGTCCAGTGTTGGAAGTTAGCAACGTCACGACGAGACTGGGAATGGATTAGCAGCTAATTCCGAAGTCATCATGTCGTCGATCTGACTTCCTTCAATCGGAATGCTCTGCCGTAGTAGACAATCGACAAGTTCAGGACGATTCTGTAACTTCGTATGTGTTACGGGGTCGCGATAGGAACTACGGGGCCCTCAGTAGAAGCGCTCATGCGCAAGCAAGTAGGCGAGACGGGACAGCCACCCTTGCAGTATCAAGATTGTTGAACTCAATCCGAAGGAATGCCCAAATGACC